GTCTCTCCATCAGGACACCTGTTGTTTTCATCTGACAAGCATCCTCCCCCACACTTGGGGAACAGCCTCTTCCACTCCATATGACGGATGGTTATATGACCTGCCTCCCCCATCACCCTGACAACAGGAGTTGTGATCAAAGCTGTGGAATGAGGGGTTGGGTGACCCGGCTGGGCATTTCAGGGACCTTGGCTGTCATTCCCCAATTCTGCCAACCCCATTGTTACTTTGCAAGTTGTGGGAAATGCCTGCCAGCCCCAAACTAAGGGAGAAAAGTATCGAGTCAGATGTGCCGCGCCAGCAGGACACAGAGATGGTCTGAGCGAAGGACGTCAGGATTAAAACACACACTTCATGGTCAGCAAGCAAAGGCACTCTTTATTCTTCTCTCCTTCCCTATTTATACCCTTCAGCATGGAGCCTGGGGCTGGGGGTAGGCGGAAGCTTTCAGCAAGTGCGTCAATAACATGCGACAATAACATGGGGGTCAAAGAACAGTGGAGTAAATACAAGGCAGTAAACACAAGGCTGGAACACTTCCTGCCTCCTGTTTTTCTGTTCCAGCACCCATGGCTCATTCTTTCTGTTTCTACACAACAGTGTGCATATGATTCTGTGGGGGAGGTGGGGAGGTCTGTCCAGGCAAAGGACCCAACAAGACGTTTCTTCCTGAAGGTTCTTTCCCTGTGCCTGCCCCTGTTCCTTGCAGTCAGTAGGAGCACCTGCCCTGAGAGCCAGGAGGCACCCACATTTCAATGCAGGTTCTGCCATCTGTTAGCTCTGCGTCTGTGGGTAAGTCACTTCAACTGTTGGAACCTCTGCGTCTTCATTTGTGAAAGAGACCAAAAGCAGAACCTGGTGGTGGTGAGGATTAAATGAGATTGATCCTGCTACCTACCTCCATCTATGCGTAGCACACATGTACACAGGATATCTGTGTAAGATCCGGGATCCTTACATTTGTGCTATAAGGGTACAGATACTGCTGGATGGGTGATGGTGGTAGACGTCCTGGAAGGGGCACACAAGTTTGTGCTGGGACTTCAGCTTGAGGTGCAAAATGTGCCTGCTTCTCAGGAAACCTAGGGGGTGGAGGTGTCTGGCAACTCAGGCCTGATCAGGCCTGATCATAGGGCAGCTGCTTTAATGCCCCCCAAAGTAGTGTGGGCCCAACGTCAGCTGAAGGTACTGGTTTCTAAATCTTAGCAATGAACCAAACATTTCCAAAACACAACATAGGCTAAAAATAAAGGCTCAACAGAGCCCCAGAGTTTGCCACTCCTGTTCCATCCAAAGAAATCCTCCTACCAGACCCTCTCTCTGTCCCAGACAAAAGTCAGATTCTTGTTGCCCTGGGTTACTAGAGAAGTGTAGAGCAAATGAATTAATCAGGTGTTTATGCCACTAGTCTCTGTGGCTGTCACCTGCAGCCTTGAGTAATGCAGAGATGCTTGGAGCACAGGTGCGGGGCATGCATGAGTGAGTAGAGCCTAGAGGGCAGCGGAGCAATGAGGATGGTGAGTGGTGTGACTGCAAAAGAGGCGAGAACGGGCCCTCCCTTGTGGTGCAGAGACTGGGCCCTCCCTTGTGGTGCAGCGGGTTAAAGCACTGCACTAAGAAGCTAAAGCCACTTCCACTTCCGCATGAGTTGGATTCCCGCCTGCCCTAGAGGAGATCCACATGGCGCGGCAGACCTCTCCTGACCCGCCCGCTGCTCCCCTCAGCAGTGTGTTTCGTTGATCTGCCTGTTCTGCTCCCCGCTCTGTCTCTGGTGAATCCTCTCACCCTCCGCATCTCTGTACCCCAGTTCTATATGAATAGATAATAAATCTTTAAAAAAAAAAAAAAAAAGAGGTGATACCATGAGATGACTTGAGAGAGGGAAGGCCAGAGAGACCTAGGAGAGAGAGAATAGAGATTCATGGGAGGCTGAGAGGCTCAGCTGCCTGCCTGGCCTACCTGCCTCCTGGCATGCCAGGCCCCTTGCCTAGTGTGTCTGTGTGCCTGGTTCCCTGTGAGCATTGAAATCTAAAAAATTCGCTAAGGGCTCCGGGACTATGCATTTGACAGAATCGATAGCAAACCTGCCCTGTGCATGCTGGCTCAACAAGAAGCACTCTTGTTCTCCCAGAAAAATTTAGGCTCGAACGGCCAATGAGAAAACGGGATAATCTTAATGAGAATAAACCAGGCATCAGGAAAATTGATGCAGAGCTCAGGTGAAGACAGATGTTCAGTGTGGAAGCCGGTCCCCCATTCTCTCCCCAGAGTCCCAGTAGGCTCATAAAATTGGCCACTTGTTAATTGGCCATTGGTGCAGCCTCAAGCTGAGGTCCCAGCACAAAGTTGTGTGCCTGTGTGTGCCACTTCCAGGCCTTCGGCCACCATGCACCCATCCAGCAGGATCTGCACCCTCCTAGCACAGATGTCAGGATCCAGGATCTTACAGAAATCCTGTTTTTCCTGCCGCATTGCTCACAATAGCCAAGGTGGAAACAACCCAGATAAAGGTGTGGCATGTTTACAACAACAGATAGCACTGGCCATGAGAAAGAAAGATATCTTGCCTTTTGCAACAGCTTGGATGGACCTTGAGCATATTATGTTAGGTCAAACAAAGACAAAGATGTACCCTCTGGTGATTACGGGTCTCTCTACTCCCCTCCAAGGCCAGCCCTACCTGCCTCTCAGCCACGCAAGGACACCAGTCCAGTGGCCCTTCGTCCCTCCTCCCCCTCAGCCACATAGTCATTTCTCCCCTCTTAATAAGAACCTTCTCTCCACCCAACTTGTCCTGCCAGGGGCTCTAGAGCTCAGCTCTCCTCGACAGCTGAAACCCCTGCCTCTGTTGCCTCCCACTCCCTTCTCATGCTTTCTCAGAACTACTCCAGTCAGGTCTTAGCCCATCACTCAGCCAAAATCCTGACAAGATAACCAAGATTCAATCCATGTTGCTTAATCCAAGACAGATTCTCAGGCTCGTCTTATTCGTTCTACGAGTGCTACTTCCTAGACATTTCTTAGACACCTTCCTAGACACCTTTTTCACGTGGCTTCCTTATTGTCCTGGTCAAGCTGAGCCTCCAAGCGAAAGCTGGTTCTCTTTCTTCCTAGACTCACTCTCTTAGTGACCTCATCTGACCCTACCTTTTATTTATTTTTTTAAGATTTATTTATGCATACAGACCTAGATGCAGGGATGGTGAGAGGATTCAGTGGGGAGCAGAACTGAAATACACTGCTGAGGGGAGCAGTAGACAGGACAGGAGAGGTCTGCTGCACCATGTGGGTCAGCTCTCTGGCTGGGAATCGAACTCATGGTGCAGTGGCTGCAACTGGCTTCACCATAGTGCTGCACTTTAACTCCTTGCGCCACCAGGGAGGGCCTGACCCTACCCTTTAAATGCATCTGCATGACAGTACCTTCCTGGTATAAACCTCCACCCCAGCCCTCCTCCTCAACACTAGGCTACCTTGTGTCTCCACTAGAATGTCTAACAAACACCAAAAACTTCACATATCCTAAACTGCTGATCTTTTCCCCCAAACTGTCCCATCTGTGGCCTCCCATTTTAGAGGGACCTCCCAGGGATTCCCTCTCTACCACCCACCAAGTCCAGTAGGACTTCCCATTTCAACATACACAGAATCAGGTCATGGCTCCCCACATCTACCGCCAACAGAGTGGTCCTCGTAGCTAGGGGATGGTGGTGGTCATGAGGATTTCGGCCATAGTATTATTAATTTTCTCACCCTAACCACCCAAGCTTCACCAATTCTTTGGCGATGACCTACAGTTGCTGCTAGCAAGGGCATGAGGGATCTAGATGCCAAGCATCAAGATGGAATACTTGAAGGTTTCTGTCATAGAATACCTTACCCTGGGCCCTCCCTGGTGGCGCAGCATGTTAAAGCACAGCACTAAGAAGCTAAAGCCACTTGAGCATGAGTTTGATCCCCGCCCTGGAAGTGATCCACACAGCGTGGCAGACCTCTCCTGACCCGCCCGCTGCTCCCCTCAGCAGTGTGCTTCATCCATCTGCTTGTTCTGCTCCCCACTCTGTCTTGAGTGAAGACTTTCACCACCCCCGCACCGCTGTACCCCAGTTCTGTATGCATAAATAAATTAAAAAAAAAAAAAGAATACCTTATTTTTTGTGTTTCTATCACTGGCTCACCTCTCCTCTTCTCCACAGAAGCAGCCAGCACCTGGCAGCAGAGGTGTGTGCCCCAGATTCCTCTGGCCCGGTAAGGGAGGCGGGTGACGGGGCCGAGCCCACTGTACTGTGCCATTGCTTCTCCCTTAGTTGGATTTTCATCCCACGGTGACCTCCCACCCCCGCTTCTGTCCTGTGTCTCCTGTCAACCCAGCAGCACTGTGATCCTGCTACTCATCTGGCAAGTCCTCTAAGGAGTCCTCACCCCACTCCAGGTAAAACCCAGCTCACTGACCGTGGCTGGAAGGTCAGTGACCTGTCTGCACTCATCCCCAACACCGCTCTTCACTCCTGCTCCAGCCATCAGGCCTCTTGGCTCCTGCTTTGTTGTTGGGAGCCAGCCATACCACCTCCCCACCCCCAGCTGCTTTGGACTCCTGAGAACTAGGGGCGGAGCTGCTGTGCCAGGTGAAGCTATTTAGCAGGTGGGCTAATAAGGCAGGTGGGTTCTGGGGGATCCTGTTTTCGCAGCCAATCTTGCACGCTGGTGATACAGGGAAACTGAATGGAAGGAGACGTGTGGCAGAGAGACGCGTAGAGACTCTAGAGACATGTGGGTGAGGCTGTCCTTCGCAGGACAGAGACTGCTGCTACCTTTATTTGCATTTTGGTTTTGCTTAACCTCTTTGTTGCTGTTCCCTGCCAGAAGGTGCCTCGGGTTTGTTGCCCAGCATTTTGGCCTCAGTGGTCCCAGTTGCCATCAACCCTGGGCATTTGTGCACAAGGTGATGGGTAATTTTGAATGTTTATTGGAAAACTATTATTAGGAATCTCCTTTGAAAGGTCTCTTTCAAAGATCTTTCACACTAAGTGTGCGTTTGTTTTTATGCAGAGAATGGCAGAATCCCCTTAGAACATGTATCCCTTAACAATGTGGGGCCCCTGGGTACCCTCAGCTGCACACTAACAAAATGTCCCAGTATCCTTCCATCCTCAGCCTTTGCACCCACCCTCCTGCCCAGAATGTTACCCCAGGTGTCGCATAACAACCATCCTCAACACCTTCACACCTTATTTAAATGTTTTTTTCTTCAGGAAACCTGTCTGCATCCCTCCTCCTCCTGGTCATCCCTACCTACTCCTTTTCCCTCTGTGCTTGTCATCATCTATGATGCCCTATTATGATTTTATTTATTTACTGTCTGTGTCTCTGTTCCTGCTCCTCTCAAAAATTGAGGAGGGTGCCTGGGTGAGACATGGAAAGCACTTGGCCAGTACATCTAGGAAGAACGTGACTGGATCAGATGAAAGACGGTTGTTGCCCCAACGCATAACAAAACAAGACACTTCTAAGGACTAAAGTGCTTTGAAAGCAAACCAGCCATTGTTCCAGACCTCAGAGTCTTTCTCAGCAGGGACAGAACCGGGAGACAAGGTATTTTGCTCTTAGTTTTTCCCAATTCCCTCCTGACGTGGCAGTGGGGGGATGACCTCCCCGGTCCTGGGAGCCCCCCAAGCAGCAGCTTCCAGCTCCGGTGAGACAGCTCCCTCAGCAGCAGCACAGAGATGAGACCATGAGATTTACCACAGCAAATGGGCACTGAATGTGGAGTGCGTGCTGGGGGCAATAAGAACGGAAGTAAATACAGAACAGAAAATAACCTTCTTTGAAATGACAACAAACAGGACACATTATCTAAACACTAACACCTAAGGAGGGGCTGCTCCACCTCTAGCAGGCAGCTCCTCAGGAAAGAGAGGCTGACTTCTTCCCAGGCTGTCTGGTCTTCAGTCCTTGTAACTTTTCATCTTTCAGCGCCTTCAAGAACTTATCTGCAGGAGAGCAAAACAAACTTAGCTGTAGTGAAGATAAGGGTTTTTCCTGACACTTTCTAAGGTTTCTGGGATGTATGCTCCCTACATGAACCTCAATCCCACTTACAATACCAAATGAACCCGGGGGGGGGGGCGGGGGGGGAACAACTCTGTCAAATATGCTTTAGAATATGTAGCCAAGAAATCCCTGACGTAGAAAGACTTTGTCTTCTAGGGGTGGTTTTCTTCCCTTGGCTGTGGGCAAGAGGACATTCCCAGTGCCTTATGAATTGAAGACCATTTCCCAGAGGGCATAAGGACGTAAACATTTTGGCTTTGGCTTTACATCATTCCCTTTCCTCGGCAGGAGGGCACATTAAACTTGCTTTATACAGTAGTGGGGGTGGTCTTACTAGAACCACCTGCCCTCCTTGAGTCGTCAAATGCAAACCTTAGCCATAACGCGTGATGGCGAAGACCAGGTCTGAAGGACAGCTATGGTACTGAATGTTTTGCAGTGTAACAGGTTCTTCTGGGATCAGTCAGATTTGCCCTGACCCTCCAGCAGGGAGAACTCAGGCAGCTGGTGGGCTAGAGTGGTCCTGCCCACAACAGTACACTTGGTCTTACTGGGTCTAGATTCCCTCGACTTCTGACATAGGATCTCATGGCAGAGCCCACTGCCCTGGTGAGAGGGCTGACCAGGGTCAAGGTCAAGGGTCACAGGGAAGTTACCTCCTGGCATTGAGAAACAGGTCCCTAAGTCCCTCAGCTCAGGGTCTTGAGTTTTCTCAAGCCATGTCAGTTTAATTGCACCTACCTCCTCCTCCTATTCTGGGTCTCAGTTTAATATAAACAATAAAGCTCTGGAGATAAGGGCTACCTGTGGTGAGTGGAATTTCGGGGTGGTGGTATTAACTGAACTTTAACGAGGCCTAAGATTAAGGATGGAGATGGGGGTGGGTGGGTAGAGAGAGGCCTAGAATCCGGAAAAGGGTTCAAGAAGGAATGAAGACGGAGTTTGGGACAGAGCTCATGAAACCCAGATCGTGGTGGGTGGAGAGTCGGTTGAAATCTAGGATCGGGGAGTTTGGGCTCTGGGGATCCATCTGGGATGCGGGGCTCCCAAGGGCTGGGGTTTGAGCCGAGGTAAAGGGGGCGGTGGAGCCTAGGAGAAAGCCAGGGCTGGCTATGGGTGGGCTCTGGCAGCCTCGGCCAAGTCACGCACAGCGCTGAGAGTCGAAGCCGTCCCCAGTGATGGTGAGCAGCTCCAGCTCCTTGATCCGGATCTCCAGCTCGCACAGTTCCTCGGGGTGGGAGTTTGAGGCGAGTCGGGCGGTCGTGGGGCTGGCGGCTAGGGGCGAAGCAGCCACTTCGGGGCCCGGCGGCGGCGAGTAGAAGAAGCGCAGAGGCTCGTAGGGGATGGCGGCCAGGCCGGAAGGCCAAGGAGGGAGGCAGGGGCGCTCGCTGGGGGGACCCAGGCCGGGCGGCGGCGGCGGGGGCGCCGGGGCTGGGGGCGCTTGGGGTAGAGACCGGACCCCAGCTGCCCCGACCGCCGGCGCCCCGCCAGCTTTGAGCGGCACGAAGAGCTTCTTCCAGATGTTGAAGTCGCTGAGCGGCGAAGCCGAGATGCCGCGATCGTAGAGGGATGGGAAGTATAGGGGCGGGGCCGGCCGCTGGCCCATCGTGGGGCTCTGGCTGCCGCGCCGCCCCTTCGGCATCTTTTGAATGGGAGACTGCGTGGGAGGAACCCCGCGCCGGGAGACGCGCGCCCGGCCCCGAGTCGCCCGGGTACTGAGGTTCCACGGGCCACGCCCCGCGGGCGCGAGGCCCCACCCTTTCACCTTAGCCCCGCCTCTAACAGGCCGGGTTCTCCTGTGCGGCCGGCCACGCCCCGGAGTGTGGCCCCGCCCGTTACGGTAGGCCACGCCCCCCATGAGAAAGGCGCTGCTGGAATGGGAAGTTAGTTGTTCGCGTTCACCTTAAGCTGCACCTCAACGCTTAGGGTTCTGCTCCGCCAGGCGACAGCCTGTGACTGCATCCTTGCTCTCTTGCACCAGGCCTGGTCCCGCCCACCCTCTGCTCCACCCTCTACACCCACAACCCCTAAATTCCACAGGCTTGGTTGGCTCTGACAACTACTTTAGTCTTCTTCTCCTTATATAGGGAGAAGAAATATTTTAAACCCGTCCCCTGCCCCAGTTGACTTTCCCCACCACCCCGTGCTGCAGAGAAGTCTGGGAAAATGAGGTGTTGACTTTTCTTTCCTATGCCTGGCATCAAAGGAGAAGAGGGTTGATTGTCAATGATTGTTACACCAACCCACGTTTCTGCCAAGTTTCCCAGTATGGTGGCAGATTCTGGAAAAAGGAGTTTGGATTTGTAATAGATCTGAAGTAGTATTGTTACAGGGCACCCCAATGTGAATTGGGTTGCCTGTCTGTGGGTCTTCACCCGGGCGGTTACAATTCAATCGTATTATGGACACACTCAAAAGGTTAAATAATGGATTTATTTATAAGGAGAAAGTTTAAGGAATAACCCAGGGAAAGAGGGAGAGAAACACAGGTTAACTAGGATGTCCTACCAGTTCTGCTGGACTCCACCTGCACGCTGAAAACTGATTGAGCGCCAAAAAACGATCAGCTGTGAGAACCACCAGGTCCCTGTTGGTGCCGAGTTAGCACATTACCCCCGGGGCTCCGGGGGTGTGTGCCCCCTGTTGTGCGTGTCAAGGTGGCCAGGTGATCGGGGCGATAAAGCCATCACAGACTTGGGTTTATCTGCCTAGGACGCCAGAGGGACGACCTGACCTTTCTCTGCCCTAGCACACTCCCTTGTAAGGGAGTGTCAGCATCTGGCAGCTGCAGGCGGTGTGGCCAGAGAAAGTCCCTACTTCCACCTTTCCCGCCTTAATCTTCCACTCCTACTGCCTAATGGTATATAAAGGGATCGCTGGAAATAAACGAGAGACTCCTGGATGAAGAACCTCGGCGTCCTGTGTTTTCTTTAACCTCATCGTCCCTCGCCGGACTCGGCTCCGATCAGCCGGACGCGGCAGGTCCCCCCAGAGCCCAGATGTCTGGTTTTATCCCAACTTGGCTGCTCAGCTCTGCCCTCACGTCCCAGGGTGCTTCTTCTTGGTACTGATGGGATTTGGAGTTCCAACATCTGGAGTAGGGGTGGAGTCCATGAAACCTGTTACAGTATGACTGCAATGAAATACAGCTTAGTTCTCTTCCAGACATAGTATCAGGAGCTAATAATAGTCAGCACACAGAGCTCTGAAAGGAAATCTTGCAGAACCCATTTCAAATAGTTCAGCCATTTTTAGAGTGACACAGAGTTCTTGTCCAAGGAACATGACCAGCTCATTAAAAGAAGCACAGTATCCTGTATTAATCATAAACTGAGGGGGAAGTAAATTGCCTCAGCCCAGTGATTTTGGTGTAAAGGGACAAAGGTGGATGAGGGCCATGTTAGGCTGTTGACTGGTGAATGCTCTGTACTTGTGTCTACATATAGGGGTGCTTATGTGCATAGCTGTGAAGCAGATGGACAACCTTTGTAGCTTTGGGCATGTTGCTTTGCCTCTTTGAAGGGAGTGATCCTGTACCTCTGTGTTATATACAGAATTGTAAGCCAATGTTTCCTCAATTAAAAATAAGTAATAATAAATGGAAATAAGAGAACCAGATTGCCACGTGTGGTTGGTTGTGATGACCAGACAGAATGGTGTATGTGAAACACTTAAAAACTGTCTAAATATAAGGGGCTTTATCCCTAACAAGGAACTTTGGTGAAACGGAGATACTTTCTCTTCCCACATGTAGCTGTCATCTGCTTTGCTGGCTAGGATGCAGCCCAAGATTCCTATCATGCTGAGCATGTTATCAGTATACTCAAGTATTTGGGCACTGGTAAGACAGTTAGATGTTATGGGAATATTTCACCCCGAAACAGGCTCAGACAGCCCTGACTGGACTGAATTTGTAAGATTAAGGGATTGCTTTGAAGTTGTGTTCAATGCTCCTTTTTTAATCATAAGCAAGAATGTTGAAACTGTCTTCCTTTAGTTAATTGAAAATGGTTAGCTCGCCAAATGTCTCCTCTTTCTTTCACTCATTAACGAGTGAACTGGGTATTATTTTCATGTATATAACTTACATAAACTGAGACCAAACCTCTGAAAGTGGGTCACTCAGAAAAACACCTGGACTGTTCTCTGGGACTCGGTCCTCAGTTTGGCTCTGGATAGCAGCTTTAACAAATTTCTAATTCAACTTTGAATTCACATTACAGCAGTGATTATTTAGGTACTAACCCCCAAGCAACAGGCCTTATCCCATTTTTCAGATGACAAAGCTAAGGCACTTAAGGTTACATAGCTTGAGGCCCTGTGGCTGGTTTGCATCAGAGAAGCCTATCAGTTGGCTTGGTTTGTGTTCAGCTCTTCACAGTTCCCCCCAACAGTTTCCCTATTCTTCCAGGCAAGATCAACTTCTGGCCTCTGGCCTCTAGCCCTCTCATTACAAGTTGTTTGTGCCACAAATCAAAGGCCCATTTATTCTGGAAAACTGGAAACAGTTTTCTTTATTATTCTTCTGAACTAACCATTGTGTTGGTCTTGCCCTGGGGGCCAAGGCATCTCTGCCTCCACAACACCTACTATATCATGAAAATTTCTGATAAAGTGCACTCTAGTCTTGTTTTCATCAGTAGATGTGGTCATGTACTTGCAGAGTAAGCAGTTTTTAAAAATAAACTGAAGCTCTAGAGGCAGTTTAGTGAAATGAGAGGTCAAAAGCTTAGAAGATGAGAGCTTTTTTTTTTAAATTATATATATTTTTTATTGCGATACATTGGCTCAAGCACTCTACGATTTAGAGGTCTAGCTTCACCTCTTCAGATGTATGTCAGTACCCCACACTGTTACAGGGCAGGGAGAGAGAGGTACCCCTGATCCCCCAAACCTGCCTGCTCTAAATAGGTTCTGCCATCCACCTCATCAGTACATGACATAAGAGATTTAATACAATTAAAGGAACTTTAATACATTGAGTATATAATACAGAAAAGACAAGGGATATAATTTCTAAATCAAATACCTGAAGTTACCCATCCTCTCGTGGGTAAGTCTACCCAAAGGGACTGGCCTAAAGCAAGGCCTGAAAGCCCTCCACAAGACTAAAGCATCTTCTGGCTGGCACCCATAGAAAAGGGTCAGAAATGACAGACAAATATGGGAGGAAAAGAGCACAATCAAAATCACTATAAATGCTGCCATAGTCACCTCCCCAGGGGTTTCTTACCCACATCTGTTTCACCAAGTACAGGGCCAAGAAACAAGCATAGTTTCATCATATCTCTTTGCTCCATGTAGCTTCCTCAGGTCTCCTTCTGGTTCTCCATCCTGCTTCCTTCCTTATGTTTTGTCCCAACTTCTGTGACCCGCCAAAAGAAAGGAAGGCAGGAGGCAGAAAGGCTGAACAAGCAGAGTTTATTGCTCCTGGAAAGCAGCTGAGACGGAGCCCCTAGAGTGGGGTCTGCAGCTACTGCCAGTCCTATGGGGGAAAGGGTCTCATTTGTAGATTCTAAACTCAAATTCCAAAAGGGTGACTCATCGCTGTGTCCCTAGATATAAGGCCCAGTTCCTTATCACCTTCATCTAGTCTCATCCAGAACTCAAGTTCCTTTAATTGGATGCAAGGCTCAATTTATTACCGCCTTATCACCTTTGGATGCAAGGCCTGATTTATTACTGCCCTTATCTAGTCCCTCAGTAAATCTCGGCATTTGGTCACTCCCAACACCTCAGATCCCTTCTCTTTGCTGAGCTCCACCCTCCTTCTGTTACAAAGCCACCACCACAATACCCATAATCCTCCACAGTAGTCCATGGGGCCCCCTCCCCTACTGACTCCATACCCCTTGGCAATCTTGCAGTTAGATTTCTAGGGTTTTGGTTTAGTTTTGTTTGTTCCTTTTTCTGACAAAATCAGATAGTTTTATCTTTCTGATTTAGTTTGCTCGGCTTAGTTTCCTCCAGTTCCATCCATGTTGTCACAAATGGGGGAGAGGGGGAGGGATTTCATCCTTTTTTTTTCTTGGTTAGTGTTACAGGACACCCCAATGTGAATGGGCTGCCTGTCTGTGGGTTCTGCCATCGGCCACAACAAGACAAAACATATAAAACTTTAATGAAAAGGGACTTTAATACATGAGTATACAATACAGAAGACAAAGAATGTAATGTCTAAATCAAACACCTGAAGTTACCCATCCCCTCGTGGGCAAAAGTCAACCCAAAAGGGATTGGCCCAAAGCAAGGCCTGAAAGCTGCCACTAGACTAAAGCACCTTCTGGCCGGGACCCATGGAAAAGGGTCAGAAATGGCCAGACAAATCTGAGAGGAAAAGATCAACATCAAAATCAATATAAACACTGTCATAGTCACCTCCCTGCAGGTATCTCACCTGCCTTAACCAGTCCAGGGTCAGGAAACAAGCACAGCTTCTTCCTCACATGCTTGCTGCTCCATGTGGCTTCCTCAGGTCTCCTTCTTGTTCTCCTTCCAGCTTCCTTCTCTTCTTCTCTTCTGATTCCTTCTCTTCTCTCCTTTTTCTCAGCTCAGCTCCACCCTCCTTCTGGGTGGGCAGGGAACCTGGAACTTCCCCTTTCCCTAGGGACCGCCCTGTTAAAGTAGCTGAGTAGTATTCATCTGTATATATATGAT